TTTAATTTTATTCTCAATTATAAATGACAATCTAATTATTTCAGGAGAGGTTATCAACAGGCACTTTAACAAAACAATGGATTTCCCTTGCTGCAGCATGCAACAAGAAAACACAAGGCAGAGACAGGAATTGTTCTGTAAAAGATGCAGTAATCAGTGCCTGCTCTCCTCGTTTTCGTTTTATCTATTTGCTTGTTTTCAGCGATTTTCTATGTTACTGCGACACATCTGTGCTTATTATACAAGTGTCATATTCCACTGAAAATGTAGTAGTTCGCATGATCTTATTCAAGCAACCAAAGATGAAAATCTAAAGGGGGACCTTAAAAAATATTATGAAACAAAAGATGACTGAGAAAAAGACCAAAGCAGGAACTATCTAAACATGTGTTAGATTATAAGTGAATGCAAAATTAGCAAATGGAATATGAAAATTTTAACACCTTTAGCTTAAGTAGTACCCAATACACTTAGTAAACAAGCCAAGTATCTAGACACTAGTTAACAACGAATCGCAGTTTGCTAAGGTAGGTATTGCAAGTGCAATTAATGTTCTCACATTTCGTTGCTACTCGAAGAGCTGTTGCTTCGTATCTCCACAACAAATTTCACGATTACCTCCAAAACACTAGATGGCAGCGACTTTGACCTGCCGTCAAGCAACTGCCGTAAAGTGGTACACGGTTGGCGAAATCCGCAAAGTGCCGCCACTTCCTCTTTGAACCATGTCACTTGGAGTGTATTCAAAAAAGTCTAAACGGAAGACGCTGATATGAAAAAGTGACATTCGTGCCAACAACAAAATCCAATACCTCCAACAGTTTGTCCAACGCGTATCGATTGCGCCAGAATTCTTCCCTGTTACTAGTCTTCAACGAATCTGCACTTTGCTTCAAAATCTCATCAAATTCGAGAAGCGCATTGTTCTACGTATTAAAAAGAATAACTTTACGAGAAAATGATCACAATCCCTGACCACAGACTTAATTATTTGATACTCGATACAAAAAAACAGTTTTATGAACACCACGCTAAATATTGGTATATTAAGATATGTTGTATTTGTTAAGATTATCACCTTGAGTCGTGTGCATCAGCAGAACGTGGATTAGATTTGATCTGTGATATCTTCTGCATCCGTAATATTTTTCAACAGTTTCGCTATATTGATTTCTGCATCGCATAAAGGACGTTTCTCTCCAAAAACGGATTTGCATCAACCTTGTTCCCCTGAATTGCACGCGGACCTTCCGCTCGACGTCTGCAGTATTTCGGCTCCCATACACAGAGCTTCTGAGCTGGAGTAAATGTTTTACGCTAAGCTAGTTTGTTTAAGAGTGTCAACCTCCTTTTCTTAATCTCCACATCTACTGAGGTCAGTTGCGCCCGGAACAGAAAAGTCATTCCTGACGCGGTCTTGCCATTTAACCTTCATTATGATTAAAGCAAACGCTACTGTATGCAGTTCACAACCGTTCTTGATCCATCGTTGAAAAAACAGCACTGGCTAGACCGAAGCCATGTACGAGAAGACTTTAGAGGAAAATGCTACTACTTTCTTAGCGTAAATACTTAAATACTTAAATTGGGCAACTTTTTGAATCGTTTATTCCCACTGCTCTACCGCACATCAACTGTGGTAGATGGGTTCTGCATAACTTTTGACTTCAGGGCACTGACGAAATAGCCGTTTCGCATATGGGAGCCGTCAGATGACGAAGTTTATTCACAGTACTACTAAATACAATATCATTTGCGCATTCTAGGTCACATGCTCAGACTCTGGCACGGAATAGGGAACGTTGGAAGCTCTGTCCGACGCATCTGCCTCCGCGACCCGAAAGGAGAAGCGGCCATGGAAGATGAAGATTCTAGGTCACCAAGATATTTGACTGGATATCCTAAGTGTGCGTTATCTACAGAATGAAGTCCTAGCTTTTGCCAGAGTCAGCATTGTTTTGGAGAAGAAAACACAGAACAATGTTGAACAGCAAAGAGAAAGCACATTTCCATGATAAACTCCATGGGTATTAGTGAACCACTGGGAAAACTACTTCGACTTTAACAGCAGATACCAATTCTGCATACGGCACTTGCAAAATGGAAAGGATAATGCGGGAATCCTACAGTCCTAAAATCGAGAAAACCGTCAAACGAAGGCATGGAATCGTCGGCGTTTCTCATTGATTTTATGCTGAGTGAAAATTAGGTTGGGGCAGGAGGACCTCATCCGAAAGCCTGCTTGATTTGGACGAAGTCCATATCAACTGCCTGTTTCAACCTTTCCAGGATATTCCAGGAGAAGAGTTTTCAGAGTGTAGAGAGTAGTGTGATATCCTGACAGTTGGAACGATAGGTCGCTCGTCGGCCTTTACATATAGGGGCAATAACTCAACGCAATCGTTTTCCAAGTAAACGTTTCGAGGCGCATATTTCATGAAATAGGGCATGTAGCTTTTCTATCATTCTCGTTCTTACATGTGTAATTAATTCTCGAGGATTTGATCTATACCACTGGCTTTCTTTACCCTTAGGCCTTTTGGATTTACAGTTTGGTTGATAGATCTGCATCAAAATTAGTGGTTGCAGAAGATTTACCGTCCGAAAGGACGAACCTAAAGAACAGCTATAGTTGAGAGAAGGCATTGGAAATACCGAGGGCATCATTTGAGGCATTCCTTCTGCCATGGTGAATATGGAAAGGGGCCTCTGCTTAATGCACAACTGTCGCGCAGGTTTAAACACTCAGTTACTACGCTTACAAACCGCTAACGATGTTTCGGCTGGTTCCTCATAAGTATTTTTCTGACTACAGCGCCGGTAGACGTCCTCTTCTTAGTCACAGTCATCGCCGATGACATCCATTGAGAAAAATTTTACGATGCATAACACGTAGCAAAGTAGCGATTTACTAGCGAAATAAACCATTATTCTACGCTGTTGTAATCACACCGCGTACTGCTGTGTTTTCCGTGCAATTACGAATGCCTAAAAAGTACCTTATAAAAGTTAGATACCTCTTCCAAAACCGGTCCCAGATCTTGAACATACGGACTGGCACGAGCACTCATCCGCACAAGCAGCAAATTCTGACCGAGTATAATGGAGTTAAGGTGAAGCAATATGACGGTCCATTCTAAAAGAAATTAATTGAACAGATTCATCAGTAGAGAATGAGCAATTTATCACCATGGATCAGTCATTCAGTCACTAATTAACTGCCACGAACACATGCCGTGAAAATGGCTTTACCAAACTCAAAGCAAGTCAGCTGCCATCGTGGCTGTCAGCCACAAAGTTTAGCTAGGTGACATTGAAACCTGCTAATGTAAAGAGAAATTTCGAAATCAACGAGAACATAGGAGGAAATTCGTGCGGTATGAATTAAAGAGAATGATGACCATTACGATAACGATGGTGGAATGCAAAGAAGATCGCTTGTCGATTCGTACAAGACCAACTTATGCCTCAGCGATGAAAAGCGGATAGGAAGGTGTCTAACAAAGAGTGGTTCAATTTCGTCACGAAATACGATCGTGGCTATAGTAGCTGGAAAACAAAGACACTTAATGAAACTCTGGTTACGACCAAACCTACGTCACCGATTAAATTTTATAATACCACTTTTCCACGGAAAGAAATTCTAATGACATGAAGTCAATGTACTTCAGCCTCTCATAGCAGATAGCACCTAATCCCGGCCAAACACCAAGCATATTCTTGCTTTAACACGTACAATACGATCACGCTACGCATTACAGTAAAAGTTTAACTCCATGCATGATGCAAAACAAGCTTCGAAACGATTGTGGTGTGCTTAAATACCTTTTTAACAGTTTTGCATGACCACGTGTGGGAATTTCTGTGGGCCTCATTTGACTCTGATCTGCGGAAAATATCAACAGTTCTAACCGAAATTTATAGGCCCCAAAGCCGTTTCAGGTGGAAGTCTTCATTTATATACTACGCAAACGAAAAAAACAGTAAGAAACAAATTTAAGAAAATGCGGCACTATTACTGACTAATGTCACGAATCGAATTAAAAGCTGAATTTGACTCACAGAAAGCTCTCAAAACGATGTGAGGTATTCATGAATACCTTATTAGTTTCGGAAGTGCTGCATGAAGGAAAAGTGCGTGCAATTAAATGGAAGAAAAGCATTACTAGTAATTTCTAACCACCGGTAAAGTTCGCAAGAAATGCTAGGAATGGGTATCTTTAACTTTGAACACTTCGACACTTTCACTTGCGGCACCGTGAGCTTCTCGCTGGAGCCGAAATATAACAAAGGTTCATCAGGAAGACAGCATAAAACATGGAGGAACGAAGTGGAGACAGATCTGCAGTTGGAGATGAACTGATTCTTATAAAATGCATTAGCCACTTACTGCAGAGCTGTAAAGCTGAGAATACAGTGGACATCACAAACCAGGCGTTATACAAACGGCTGAAGATGATCACACAAACATACACAGTCAATACATGGTTCGTTGCTCTAATAAAGATTCAGGAAGGCGTACCACAGTGCACCGTCAAACAGAGTCACTCATTTTCGATGAACAGTTGTCCTTTAGGTTAACGGAGGCAGAAGCATCAGAGAGTGTCTCTAAGGTTGCCTGTCATCTGGTAGCATTAGAAATCAGGTAGCAGAAAACCCGAATGCCGAGTAGAGTGTGTCGAGACACGTGCCCCGGGTCATTCTTGGTCGCCCCCGGTGTCTTCGGTCAGATGGTTGGACACGTACTAGCCGTTTCGATCCTTTCTCGAAACATTCGAAAGACGTGCCCAAATCATCGCAGCTGTGACTTTTCAATCTAGAGAAACAACAGCTGTAAACCAAGGCTCTCTCGAATATCTGTACTCCGGACTATGTCAAGACACGCGCCCAGCAAAGCGCCTCAGTAAGCGCATTTGCCGCTTACTGGGGCTCAAAATGTTTGGTCATGGCCTACAACTCACTACATAGATGACCATGGGGATGAAGATGGGCTTGAACACCGACAGTTTAGTCTTTATACTTAGCTGTGCCAAGATCATATCGGTTCAGACATGTTTACGTATAAAACCGTTGGTCATTCCAATTCACTGGTCGATCTCGACGCACTACGATGGGAAATGGCAAAAACGTGTAAGTAATGAGGGCAGTGTCCTCATAGATCCGGGTATTTCCAGTAGAACTGAAAACAAAAAGGAGACTAACATACCGGCTAAATGCAGATCCCTCAATTCCGACACGCGAATTTTTGTAGGAACAAAACACGGCAGACCTCGGGTAAGAGGTCCAACACGTGTGATACGCATAAATGAAAACAGATCTGTGTTTGGAAAATTAATTTTTTCTATGACGATGCTGCAACCAATACTCCGTAGAACAGCGTTCATGAGCAAAAAAATACAGCTAACATCGCTGGTCCAAGACGTTCTGCGTCTGGCAACGATTTAAGATGACGACCACAACCTGCGGTAGAATTTACCTTTTTCAAGGGAAAGAATGGCTGCTTTAAAGTCATCCAGCGACCATAATCGCGGCGGCACACTCTCGACATGGCTAAAAAAGGCTGTAAGACAAAACGATAAACATAAATCACTGTCTAACAACTTTCTGTCAGCGTCCATAAGAAAGATATGGCGAAATGAGATGGCGTCACTTTCAGAAAGATGGTATGCGACATTCCAAGCATCCTTTTTGATATTTGCGTACGCCAGAAATTCATTAACTTCTGCGTACCACGGGTAGAACATGAGATGGCTAAAGCTGGCCAAGTCCGCTTCTATTTCGGTCACCAACTTGTTCAGCTTCGTGGTGGTTATATCGCCATTAGCTCGGGATTTGACTCTGGCCCGCGATGTCTTACACTTTGTTGCACGAGTTGCTTTAGGGTTCATATGCAAACTGGACAGAAGCGCCGTTAATGAGTTGTAACTTTTCCCATTCACCACTGCTTGGATGACAGCTCTGAAGTAATTGTATCTCAGCGTGTGAAATGGACTGAAAAACGCTTTAACCAACGGGTAAAGCTTGAGAGTGTCGTCGACAGCGCAAGCATCTTTCATGATCATATTTTTTTGCAAGAGCTGCAGAAACACTTCACACAGAATTGAACATTTGACAAGAGACGACTTTCTGAGGAAGACTTCCTCCCAGCCTACCGCAAACGACACCTCTTCGTTCAGCTGTGCTTTCAGGCGATTTTCAAGACGGCTGGATGTCGAATTAAATTCAGACAGGCTCACTCGAAAATGCTCGAGAAAATTCCCGTGATCGTTTGTGACGAAATACAACGTCAGTTGAGAAACGAGCTCGACAAGCTCTAGTTGTATGAGCGGATGCGTGCAAAATGCACAGCGACACATGTCTTTGCAGTCCAACACATAGAAACGAAAGAGATTACGGGTAATACTTATGTGTTTCGACACGAAAAACTTCCGCAATGTGCTCGCTACGTATTCGCTGAGAGTTTCATTGACCT